TGCAATGTATGCCGGGACCTCCGCCATAATTTAAACGCGTTAGTATCCACAATGGTTAATTCAAAGTGGGAGCCGCAGGTTTGTATTGCTCCTCGCAGAAGTCGGCCCAAAGAAATCACGTGTTACAAAACCAAAACAAATTGACTAGAGCTCCAAACAACAAAACAGCAGCATTTCTTAGCAGACGATAATTTGGACGCTGCGCTGGAGCTCTTGGTCAAGCTGAAAACAATGTCCATGAAGTCGCAACAGAAGAAATGCAAACAAATGCAAATTATTGATTACATTTAGTTTTGATTGCATTGAATCTACCATGAAAATAAACGTGTTTTAGAGCGAAAATAGCGTCATATATATTTGGTCATTAGGGCTCAGTACTTACACAAATGCATGTCGGTGTTTGTTTCCGGTGTATCACTGACTGATCAATTAATTTTATTTGCCGTTTGAGCTTCATGAACTAAATTAACAAAATCACTCGCCACCAACGTGCAGTAATGCCTCGTTTATGATAATTAGTACACAGACACCTTGTTTTAGTTCTGCCCACGCAGTGTGGGATGACGTTCGTTCATTCTAACACCCGCCAACTAATTCGAACTCTGCTTAATTTAAACAACTTCTTAGTCTCCTTTGAGTATGAATTAACGTACTTATATGCAATTGCTCAAAGTAAACACGTGATGTTGCAGCAAATCTAGCCATTGAAGGTGATGATGCCTCTGATAGAAAACCACAAGCAAATAATACACTGATGTGACCTAAACCGAAGCCACTGAAAGCAGGAGAACAAGCATTATTGTAGCCCAAAACTGGTGTGCTTCCTCCTGTAAGCACTGTACATTTGAGGGCCATGTCACTTGCACACAATCTGCTTTGTTAAGCACAAGATATCTCATCAGTAACTTCAACAAATGATTTGCTGTTCAAACCTGTCTTGCTCGTACACTGCTCGCTCTACTAACTATGATTTATTCTGTGGTAAAAATACGAGTCAAATATACCACTGCACCACACTAGCAATCCAACTTGACGAACATGAAGCCTACACATTTTTTGCTTAGATTGCAGTCGTTGAGAAGTCATGTAGCCATGTACATGTTAGAACTTGCATGACCACCACTGATAGTCTTGGAATGAATGACATGTACAAAAATACTTTTGCATTTCCGGAGATCCAGACTTCAACAATTGTTGAATGTACTAGATGATGTAGTTCTGCTTATAGTGCGTCCTTGTATCTTCAGGGCACAGGCTTGTCCACCGGAAAGGTCACGTTATGAGGAAAGACAGCAGACGGTTAGCTAGAACATTTGAATAGACAGCACTACATGGGAAGTACAGGCGGGAAGGTCAAGGATAATGTGGGGCAATGAAACTGACAAGTTCGGGGGCATAAGATGAAATTCGCTCGCGGAGGACAGGGTAGGCTGGAGATCATAGGTTGGAGGCCTTCGTACTGCAGTGGACATAAGTTAGTCTGAAGATGATGTTAACAGCTTTAGGCCTCAGAATCGCCAAGCACAAAAAACTCACACAATCCCTCATGCGTTCACGTAAGATAACTCGTAATGTTAAAAACATATTCTTCATTTTCTTCTCATTCTATTGTATTGATCTCCATTCCTCTTCCATTGCTGAAAGACTATTTGTGCACCTACAGTTGCGTTGCATTGCTTGCGGGTAGGCCCGCTCTTGATAAAGAGGCGATGCCATGTAATATGACAAGACAGTGACGTCACGAATTTTTAGCAATATGTGACATGATGATGATGTCACATGACATGGCATTAGACAGCTGCTGATCTCTGTGAAGATAAGTGGCCAAAACCTAACCCGGCTGAGTATCACAGGGTGAAGACCCAACGGTGATGTTAAAAACACATCGCGAGTCCCCATAAGATTGCTACCGTGGTAAACGTTAAGTGCCAGCGTGTCTGACCTCCATGTGCTTTAGTCCATGGTCTCACAATACACCAAATGACTGGTCTTGTTTTTTACAAAAGGCATTTTACATATACCATACCTTATATTCCTGTAGACAGTTGGGTGCAGTAAACTCAAACTTGAATTATTCTCTGTATTCATCCAGCCACCCAGCTCTGTATTTTCCAGGACTGCAACGAACAAGCTCGCCTTTGTGCTTCAAGGAAATGGCTCGTAATGACAAAAAAAAAAAAGCCAATTACCAGAAGGGTATATTTTAAGAAAAGGTTAAATTCATACAAGTTGTGCCCTTGCTACTTCATAAACATGCAAGACAAGTGATGCTATGCCACAGCAACACTAAGGGACCACTAAGGCTTCCCTTCAAGGGTTGAACGCGATATCCTGTCCCTAGTGCGTACTTCAACCATTTAGTGCATACTTTTTATTGTATCCTGTTACTTGAGAAATTTAAATTGTTGATTACCACAATGTAACCGATGTTAAAAGTGGCTAGTGTCAGTGAAGCTTTTGCATATGACTGCACTCAGTGTAATCGGTAGCATGCTTTAAACTATGGGCAATCATGCGCATGAAATCTTTACGAACTTGATATGCACTTACTTCATGGCCTTAAAGGAATAGCCGCCGTACTGTGTGTGACTTTTGTAGTGGGTGGCCAGCTTCAAACCACGAAGCTGTGATGATCACATGCTCTGAAGCCCAATGGCAATGTACGCTGCTTGTACCACGCATCATTACTGCAATATTGCATGTTGTGTTTATTGTGAAGCATGTTATACAGGACACATGTAAAGCATGAAAGCTACTTTCACTGTATTTCCAAACAGACACGCGCATGTTAGGTAGAACGCCTGCTTGCCACACTAGCGAGCCGGCTTCGATCCTCTCTTGGATTCAATTTTCTTTATTATTTATTTGATGTTCATCTTGCTCAATTTTTCAGTTGCGCACAAGATGATTTTTCGCTCACAACCGACGACACCAACAACAATGCTGAAATTTCTACGAAACGAGTTCTTTAACACCTTCGCCTTGAATATTGTCCAACTGCGCTTTTGTGTTTACGGTGGTCAAACGTTCATGCCTTATTCCTTAAAAAACATTGCCTCTCGTGGCCTGGTACAAGTATTTCGACCAAAGCACAATTAATTAATGGTGACGATTAGGCTAACTGCACCACATCATTTCTATAACAAAAATTCTTAGTGCAGAAAATAGGTCAGTGAAATCAAATTATATGCCGCTAACAAATTATCAAGCATATGAAAGCCACCACTGATTCCATTAAAATGCTAACAACTTGATTTACTCATAGTGCATTCAGTCAAATACAAAAAATGCATAGTAAACCAAAAGAATTTATTTGCACTTGTGAAAAAAAGCTACAAAAAAAAAGTATCAAGCTCATATGCAGATTCTCAATTCAGACTCTCGAAATTATGAAATGTACAGCTACACAGATGGTGACGTACTTCGTGGTATCGTGGTGCTATCGCTTCAAGTCTGTTCAAGCAAGTGGTTCGGACAAAGGTTTTAGAGTCAATGCAAACATGTGGTCTCTCATATTCTGAATACATTAGTTCTCCAAAGCTTAAAGGGGGTTCTGATACAAAAAGTTTGGCCTTGAAATTTATTTAATGCAATGTATTGTTAGAGGCCTGTCTTTCATAACACAGCGCATCATCTGCTGCATTGGGCGATAGATGATTATTTACAAGCTCCGCATTACAGGCATGTCCCAGTTTCGGTATGAGAGAGTTCCAAAAACGACAAGCCGCCGAGAGCAACTGTCACCACCTAGCGTGTGGAACTTTCAACCACGTCAGCACACAGAACTGCAATGCAATTCCACACGGTCTGCATTAAGATGCCCTTTCGAACCGGAAACGAGACAGCAGTGTCGCCATACACAAAACTTTCTATGCGTGCACCGCGGTCGTGGACTCTCGAGCAGCTGTCGAGTAATATTCTGCTGATGCAAACGTGGCGAAAAAATGGCAGCTGTGACTTTGTCATAACATTTTGCAGTGTGGTCACTTGAAAAAAGTAGGGCTGTCACGAAAGGTCACCTTTCAGGTTGTCAATAGCGTGAAAGAGTTGGCTGCTGTTGCAAACTTCAAAATTAACTTAAAATACCACCCAAGCTATATTCGCTGTTGATATCTTGCAGATGATATATGCATGTGCACGAGAATCGATCCCGCCTGCTATCTCGACCTCGCAAATTTGGGTCAGTACCCCTTGTAATATTGTAATATTGAGTGGTAGAAAAGTAGAATCGGGACAGGCCTTACACCACATGAAGTGCTTAATGAGTTTATGGTTTACGACCTCCAACCCAAAAAAAAGGGGCTCAGCCACAATCCTTTACCCTCACCATAATCAACCACAACAACCTTGAAGTATGCAGCAACGTAGGTGTACATAGTGCCTTAAAAATACGTAGTGGGTGCTCTGCTACTTTGCAAAATGTTATGATTTATTTTACAGTAGGCTCCTCACAATTTTCTTTACAGAAGGTGCCTAAGAGGAGACACTGGTCTGAAATTTTTTTTTTAATTTTCAGTGTTTCCAGCTGAAATTTTAACACAATATGTATTTTCCACAGCTGAAAACAAATATGCAATTAGTTTTTTGCTATCACTTTTAGATTTTTAAATATTGACTGTTACATAAACTTGCATTCTGCCCAACATTTTGACATCTTCCTCATAAAATATTGCTACAAATTTGATATGACAGCATTCCATGAAGGCCAGGGAATGCAACAAAACCATAATTTTATTTTTAGCTTCATTGGTACCAGAGTTATGGCCTTAACAAGTATACTCAATAGAAATCTGAAACTGTCGCTTAAAATTGTTGCTAATTAAATCACTATTGTAAATAAAAATATTACAATTTTTTTGTTTTCTTGCACTAATCAATGTATAAGCTTTCAAATGCTGCAAGAATTATCAAAATCTGACTGCTACATCAAAAGATACTGTGGGTAATGGCTTAGGGTGTGATGAAAAATGTTGTTTTGAGAAAACGAGAAAAGAAGTTTAGGAACATGCTGAGCACTTATATTGAACAAGAAAAGGCGTGAATCGGTGTATTAACCATGTTAGAAGCCACCAGGAATGTAGTCATCATCATTCTCCTTGGTGCGCTTTCTTTTCATGGCATGCTTGAAGTTTTCAGCATGCTCATGCTTCTTCTCCGATGCCACTAGTCGGCGACTGTCCTATTCTGAGCATCTTTCAGCGGCCACAACACTCTGCTGCAGATGCAGCTCCTTCAATATGGCGGCATCTGCTCTCCCTTTGCCAGCTTTGAACCTTGCAACAGCTTCGGCCACAGCAGCTTCAACGGTGAAAAGCGACGCGTGTTTGTTTTTGGACACGAGCGACCAGATGACGGAGTGCAGGCTCTCGTTTGGGTTCTGTGTTTTGCCTCGCTGACAACGCTCCAGCAATTTCTTGTCAGAGAGGCGCGTGTAAATAGGCCGCAAGGCATCAACCACGTACTCCGGCAGGTTGTAGCGATGATTCGGAGGAGTCTCCTGCTTGGCAACAGCCTTGTTGTACTTGCACCATGACTCTTCACCTAGTTGGGCAGTGAGAGTGCTGAGGGCTTGCATCAGTAGATGCTACGTGATAAAAGGGTTGCCCAGACAGCATTATTCATGGCCTCAATGCTTCCTTGGTTGCTTTGTAAAGCCCATCTATAATACGACGTGAGCTTTGTGACCAGCTCGCCTGTCAGTTTGCCCTTGCCTCCTGCAGACTGTTGAAGGTCCGGCTGTCTCCATCACACAACATGGTTGTGTAGCGGAGCCCATGTCTCTCCAATGAGCGGCCAAATAAAATTTGTGCTGCTTCCACCTCCATTTGTCCTGGCTTACTGGGGTATTCTTTTGGCAAGTGTGACCAGCTAGCCACTCGGCATACCTTGGGTTGTCCTCCTTCGGCCCTAGCTGGCAGCCCAAACAAAAGTTCGATAGGACGACGAAGTCGAGCACATAACCCGTGAATAGCTCAATCACGGTCCCTACACAAATATGGGATGAGTGGCCCCTGGTCAGCCAAGTGCCATCAATGGAAACGGCGATATTGCCAGGATTTCCACAGTTGAGTTCAGAATACACCGTTTTCACGGTGCTCGCGCAGTCGTCAATAACGCGCGCGGCAGGGTTCATTTTCAATTTCACATAATCCTGGTATGTCTTGGTGTGCAGGCCTCTCCGTGAAATATTTAGGGCGGAAAAAATATCGTTCAGCGCAGTTTGCCCGTTTCCTGTGCTCATTGCCGCGCGAACCGCGAGCACGTTAATTTCGAAGGGGCCGTGCACTGCGTCCCCCCCCCCCCCCCCCGCTCTCGGCGAGCTCCATACGGTCCTCGGTTTACCGCACTCGTCACATGTGAGAACAAGTTTCACGGCTATGCCATATTCGCGGTCTTCCTTGGAGATTCTGCCAGGCCCGCCACACACACCGCACTTTATACACTGAAGAAGTTCGTTGACCAACTCTAAGCTAACGACGGTGAACGGCGTACCAGGCGTTGCGGCTCCATCCGAGTCTCGAAAAAAAGACCGCTTGCGTTTTGTGGCAGACTTCGATGAAATATCTTGCAGAACATCGCGCACACGACACTCGATGGCCACTTTTTCAGCGTCAGAAACCAGGGGAGTGTCGAAGCGCACAGCTCTCGTGTGATCTTGGGACGCGGCTATCGCGTCCGCGATCGCGGGTGCCGCGGCGGTGATAGCGCTGGCACAGCCTGCTTCTTCCGAGTTCTCGGCGGCAGAAGGTCTCGCTGGTGATAAGGTGCGGGCTCTCAGACGCCGTTTTCGCCCTTTTCCAAACGCATGAGCACTCCGGAACTTTCGATGACCGCCTGCCAATTGCACCAAATGCACAGCCGTTGTTAGGCCTCTACGCAAAATGGCGGCTTGCACGCCGCTGTCTAGCAGACGAATCCCTTCGCGTCCAATAGGAAACCGGGAATCGCCCCAGGTGACAAAAACGCACCAATGATGTGCGAGTATTAAGTTTTTTTTTTAAGCGCGATAGCTGCGTTGTTGCTAGACGAAAAACGTTCTTCTGCTAGGAACAGATAATAGAAAAATGTGTTTTTAAAATGAGATCAAAATGGCCGCGCTACTTGGTGCGGTTCTCGCGCGCTGCGGCGTTGAATACGACCGTTTTTGAGGTGGTTTCAGAAGCGAAAATGGTCATCAAACTGTCTATGCGACACAATAACTCGACAAATACGCATTACAGGGCTATAATATTTTAGGAACAGCTTCCTTAGACCTTAATAATTATGACAAAAAAAAAATACTTCAAAAAATCGCTTTTTCGGAAAATTTTCGGCCTCCCATACCCGTGTCTCCCCTTAAAGAAGTTTACAACAGGTTCTATGAAGGTCTCTTATGTCACTTATGCTGTGACAGTGCAGCATGTGTAGCCTGTGGTTCCTTCATTTAGAATGCCGTTCAAATACCTGGGAGTAATACAGAGCTTTGATGTGGCAGCTCTACTACGTGGCCACGCGTGTGCATCTTCAGTTCGAACTTTTTCGAGAAGATCTGAGGGCACAACTGACATTTATGACCAGTGTGAATCGGCAGGTGATTGTTTAATGTGCCCAGTTGGGAGAAGATTTGGGAGCAATGGTCACACTTATACGGCCGGTCACCCGTGTGGATGCGCAAATGAGCGGTCAACGCTTGTCTTTTTTTAAAGCTATGTGAGCACTGGCAGCATTTGAACGGTCGCTCACCCGTGTGAACACGCAGGTGATCGTTCAACGCGGGCTTTTGTTTGGAGCTCTGAGGGCATAGATGGCACTGAAACGGCCGCTCGCCTGTGTGAACCCTGATGTGTTGTGTCAGATGCAAGCGTATATTGGTCTCATAGTTGCAGTAGTTACACTTATAACGGCGTGCCCGATGAGACTTCCCGGTTTCTGTAGTTGCTTGGTGGACGACAGACCCCGAAGCTGCACAAAGAAAATAAGAGATGTTGCTCAAGTATCACTTTTCCTTTAAAAAAAAAACGAATTGAATTCTACATTTTGATGCAGCAATGCCACTCTGAGCATAGCGGTCATGCCGTAGCAGAAAAATGTGTATTAATTTAGAACCATGCTGGGTTCTTTTAGATGTCCTCCTAAATGCAAGCACACACGTGTTTTCACATTTCACTCACACTGCGATCCAACCACGATAGCTGTAGCTATGAAACACTAAAGAAACGAAAGCAAATTAGTGTTGAGTGACACTTCCTCAATAAAAAAAGGCTTGATAAGAACCTCAGAAGCAAGGTATAGCTGGTCAACCTTTTACATATTCGTTCGACATCTAAATGCGATTGCTGAAAGATATGTTAGGGAAGCATAGGCATACTGTTACTGAGATAATGCATTAGACTTAATCACCTGCATTTCACTATCTTGCAGCAGCAACGTAATACCGCTTGAGTTGTTTTCACAGATGTAATTTTGCCTCAAAAGACAGCATATCATTATGTACAATACTATGAATATAATGGACCACAAAAAAGTGCTTCTCATTCTTTCAGCACTAAAGCCGAAAGTGCGGGCATTTATGGCTACAATAAAAAGATGAAAAAATTACAAAAAAGCAGAATTGAAAAATTATGAACCAGATTCAAAGACCGTTTCTAAATGATGTTTTTTTTCTTTTAAGCCATTGTAATAACAACAAATAATGCTTCTACACATAAACTTTAATGAGCACAACTCAGTTCATTTGGATCCCCTCAATTAAAAATGCACCAGTAAATGGACAAGATATAATATTGTCACGTCACTCCAGGGGGTGTCGACAAGATTTACTGACGTCTGAGCAACAGGGCTCTAACCAAGCGCGTCGGTTGGGCTTGTTTGCCAGAGCGAGGGCCCACGTGCACTTCTTTCTTCTCTGTGGTGTGTGCCTTCACCTTGGCATACGACCCACTACTAGAAAGAGGTGGCAATATTCCCCCTCAACAACAAAAAAGAGCATCGTCCCGATGCTGCAAAGTTATTGAAAAAAAAACCAAAACAAAGTAGTTTAAACAATGAAAAAGGGCACCAATAATGAAATGTTAGACGTGATAAGTTCACCAATGATGAGGCAATTGTCGGAGCACAAATAAAAAAAAACACAGGAAAAGTGGTCTTTTAGGAACGCGCAAAATAGGGCTTCATGCGCACCACGTGAACTATGTCAGAGGTCGGTTGTTTTCGTTGTACCCATCGTGACGACGTAGCGTCCGGAACCACTTCGTAGTTTACGTCGCTCACGCGGCGTAATACTTTATACGGACCGAAGTATCTGCTGAGCAACTTTTCAGAGAGGCCACGGCGTCGAACAGGGGTCCAAACCCAAACTTGGTCTCCCGGTCTGTAAGATACGTCATTGTGACGCATATTGTAACGTCGTGCATCAACCTGTTGCTGCTGACCAATGTGTAGCCGGGCGAGCTGGCGAGTTTCCTCGGCACGCTCTGCAAATTCTTCTGCGTCAGTTGTTAATTGATCGGCGCCTTCACAAGGAAGCATCGCATCCAGCATCGTCTGAACTTCGCGGCCGTAGAGAAGGCGAAACGGTGCAAATCGGGTTGTTTCTTGAACGGCGGTGTTATAAGCGAACGTAAGGCAAAATGCGATCCCGTGTTTTGTGTTGGACGTCGATGTACATGGAGATCATGTTTGTGACTGTCTTATTTAGTCGCTCGGTTAAGCCATTGCTCTGCGGATGGTAAGCAGTCGTCGTTCGATGCCTAGTGTTACTTAGTCGAAAAACTTCATCAATAAGTTGTGCAGTGAACGCTGTTCCTCTGTCGGTTATCACTGTAGATGGAGCACCGTGGCGCAGAACAATGTGGCACATGAAGAACTGTGCTACCTCAGAAGCCGTGGCTCGTGGTATCGCCTGTGTCTCAGCATAGCGGGTCAAATAGTCAGTTGCAACAATGACCCATTTGTTGCTGTCAGACGATAAAGGAAATGGGCCGAGAATGTCCATGCCAACTTGGTCAAATGGCTTGTGGGGTGGATCAATTGGCTGAAGTAATCCAGCCGGCTTGCTTGGTGGCGACTTTCGACGCTGGCATTCGCGACAGCTTTTAACGTGCTGCTTCACGCTTGCAGAAAGTCCGGGCCAGTAGTACGCCTCACTTACTCTGGCGAGCGTTCGCGAGTAACCTACATGACCAGATGTGGGCTCGTCATGACACGCAGAGAGGACTTCATCCCGCATGTCCTTCGGAACGACGAGGAGGTAAACGCGGCTCGTAGGACGGGCGTTTTTTTTGTACAGGACATTATCTCGGAGGCAGAAAGATGTCACGACGCGAGATAGATGGCGAGGTATAACGGCGCTATGACCCTCCAGATAGTCGATGAGCGGTCGAATCTCTTCATCCTCTCGCTGGCGTCTACTCAAGTCAGATGAGCTAAGGGCGCCGAGGAAACCGTCATCGTCCTCTTCTTCTTGATTGACTAAAGGTATGGGTGCACGTGACAGCGTATCAGCGTCTTCATGCTTCCGTCCAGACTTATATACGATGGTAACATCAAATTCCTGTAGACGCAAGCTCCATCGGGCCAGTCGTCCAGAGGGATCACGAATGTTTACCAACCAGCAGAGGGCATGGTGGTCCGTCACCACTTTAAATGGACGACCATAGAGGTACGGGCGAAACTTGGTGATCGCCCACACTACTGCGAGACACTCTTTCTCTGTGGTCGTGTAATTCACCTCGGTACGGGACAGTGAGCGGCTGGCATAGGCTATGACTCTTTCTTTGCCGTGTTGATGCTGGACGAGCACTGCGCCGAGGCCGATGTTACTGGCGTCAGTGTGCACCTCTGTGTCAGCATCTTCG